TATGGGCATTAGCATCAGTGTTAGTATGGGTATTAGCATTAATGTTAGTACGGGCATTAGCATCAATATTAATATGGGCATTAGCATCAGTGTTAGTATGGGCATTAGCATTAATGTTAGTACGGGCATTAGCATCAATATTAATATGGGCATTAGCATCAGTGTTAGTATGGGCATTAGCATTAATCTTGGTACGGGCATTAGCATCAATATTAGTACTTGCATTAGCATCAGTGTTAGTACAGACATTAGCTTCAGTGTTAGTACAGACATTAACATCAATGTTAGTACTGGCATTAGCATCAATGTTAGTACAGATATTAGCATTAGTGTTAGTACATGCATTAGCATCAGTGTTAGTATAGGCATTAGCATCAGTGTTAGTATGGCCATTAGCATTAATCTTAGTACAGACATTAACATCAATGTTAGTACAGGTATTAGCATTAGTGTTAGTATGGCCATTAGCATTAATCTTAGTACAGACATTAACATCAATGTTAGTACTGGCATTAGCATCAATGTTAGTACAGGTATTAGCATCAGTGTTAGTATTGGCATTAGCATCAGTGTTAGTATGGCCATTGGCATTAATCTTAGTACAGACATTAACATCAATGTTAGTACAGGGATTAGCATCAATGTTAGTACAGGCATTAGCATCAATGTTAGTACTGGCAGTGGCATCAGTGTTACGGCGCTTTTCCACCAGCATACAGGACCCAGCAAAGAGACACTAGTTACAGTGCCGTTCCACCTCACTTTAATTTTCCACTGCAGAAGGGTCAGCTCAGTTAAGGCTGAAGAGACGCTTATTTACTATCTGCTAATTTCCATTTGCATTTGCAAGTCTGTGAGAATCACCTTATGTGGGGTTGCCAACTTCAGTCAGCTGGCTTGAGTGAGATTATCAGTTTGAGACAAGTCTGCACACACTTGCACACACATTTACATGTATGTAACAGTTTTTATTACCTTGTAAATAGTGGCATGAGTGGAGGGTGTCATACCAGATGCATGAGAGTTGGCAACCCTGGTTATGTTAGCATCAAACGCTAGCAGAATTAGCATTAGCTTATGTAAATTTGAATTATGAATCTACTCCATTTAAGTGTTCTCTAGTACATTTTAAGTAGGATGCTGAAAATGATCAGAAATGTATCAGTATATCGCGATGTGTGATACTACTAATAATGAATCATATTTAAAATATGCCCTTTTTTCCATCAGATAATCCCTGCACAGATCACCGGTATCACCATGCATCTCGACCAATCAGATGGTGGTGACGCAATCAATTCAGTTTAATCATGCTTTCACCCCTGCTAGTAAGCAGGGCCATATCAGCGCAGGTATGGGTCAGGTATGGCTTGCATAATTTACAATGGAAAACGTACGACTCGAGTATGGATCAGTATTGAGATTAGCATTGATGTTAGTGTTGATATTAGCATTGCTGTTAATACTGAGTTAGCACAAATGTTAGTACTGGTTTTAGCATTGATGTTAATATTGGGATTAGCGCCAATGTTAGTACATGTTTTAGCACTGATGTTAGTGCTGAGATTAGCGCTGACATTGTGCAAATCTGTGAGTCAGTCGTGTCCTGGAGTCATTTACATCTGAGCAGCCAGTTGCACCATTAATCTGATTATACCCCTAATTTAGCTAATTACACCTTCTATGTTAACAATTAGGTCGCTTTGGAGAGTGAGTCTGTGTGTGTGTGCGTCTGTGTCGGTGTGTCTGTATCACTGTATCTGTGTGTGTCTGTGTCAGTGTGTGTCTGTGTGTCTATGCCAGTGTGTCTGTGTCCGATCATCACTCACTCCCTGCTTCCATCCTCTAGCCTGATCTTCTCCTCCTGCCTGATCTTCTCCTCCACGGCCTGCAGGGCTGCAGCCAGGGAGGCGCTGGTCTCTTCCAGCCGCTGCTGCGCCGCCTCCACCCCACCTCCGCTGTCAATGGATGCCCCACCGATGGAGGAGCGTGGGGGCTTCACTGGGGGAGGTGGCGTGGGAGTTGGGGCAGGGGAGAGGACCAGGGCCTGTGTTGTCTGTGGGCTCTGTGGGGTGGGGGGACCCCCGGATGGGGGCGTGCCGGCAATCCTGCCCTGTGTGAGTGTAGGAGTGGATGCAGGAGGTGGTGTGGAGGCGGGGGAGGGGGCAGGGCCCACACCGATGGGATGTGGGATGATCTGCACCTTAGTGGGCTTGGGTGCTGTGGGGGGGGGAGCGGGCTTTGGCGACACGGGCGGTGGCACTCGCTTTACCTCTGTTGGGGGGGGGGGGGGACAGTAAAACACAATCAGAACACTGTAAACATCATCACAAACACCATCACATTGCCCACCAACTCTGTGCCTGACTGAACCTCCACCACACTGTCAGCCATGCTTCCCCACAGAACGGGACTGGCACCTGGGCTTCCTGGGCTTCCGGGTCCAGGGAGGGGCACCCTCTTTGAAGTGGGTCCTGAAGGTCCCATTTTTTTCATGTGCTGAGCCAGGACGGGCTTAGGGGACACCGGTGGCTTGGGAGGCCTAGGGCCCTCGGGTCCTGGAGGGAGGAGGTTGTCCCTGCTGTCTCTGCGGGGGACGCCGTCACTGTGCTCCTGGACCCACTGCGTCCCGTTCTGGCAGGAGGCCGGCACCAGGCTGTCCGGCACCTCCTCCTCTGAGTCCTTGTCCCGACTCTTCGGCCGTCGCTTGACGGTGCTGGACTCGGTCAGGTGGAAGCGGACCCCGTCGGCTTGCAGCTTGGAACGGGACCTCCTCTTCAGGGTGCTTGTGGCTTCCTCCTGGGAAGCCTCCTCCAGTGGCACGATGCACGAACCAGCAGGGAGGCCGTCATCCTCGCCTTTGGCCTGACGGGGGTGCTGTTTCACCATGACGTGCATGTTGCCCGCTGGACCCTGGAGCGAAGGTTCCTCCAGTCGGCCTAGCGGTCCTGGATGTGCCCCGACTTTTGGTTCTGGTTCCCGGGGACCCCGCTCTCGTCGTGCTGCGGCTACGAGCTCCGTGACGGGCCCACTGATGGTCCGGCGCCGGTTCACCACCTCGCCGTCCAGCCCAATGGCATCACGTGGCTTCCCGCCAACTGGGGCCCCCATCATTTGCCCATGCTCTGCATTAACCTATGGAAGGGAGAGTCAAAATCAGTACTCTGCCATACCTGACCAGTAGAGGGCATTGGAGCTCTGTGTCTTATGGCTGCATGTAGGTATGTTTCTTTGGGGACATAGTGAGCTGTACCTGCAGGTGATGCTGCCCCCCTGGTGACTTCTGCAGGGCCTTGGGCCCACCCCCGATGGAGGACATCTCCAACATGGCAGCGATGCTCCTGACGCTGCCAGCGCTGCCCGTGTCCACAGCGGCACCGAGGTCGCTGGCCCGCCGCTGTGGCCGATAGCCCACATCCAGCAGCCCTGCACTAGGGGGCTCCTTGGCATCATCAGGCTGGATGGGGCTGGAGATGGCTGAGCTAGAGCGCTTGGGCGGGGGTGGCGGTGGCCCCTTCTTTCGGGGCCGGGCGAATGAGTGGCCACGGTTAGTGTTCTTGTCCGCGGGGCCCAGGGTGGCGCTGGCCCGGGGAGTAGTGGCCACAGTTGTGGCCCCTGGCTCCTCACCATCCTTTGCAACGTGCCGGCTCAGGGTGTGTGCCCGCTTCTGCGACTGGCCCCGCCCCTCCCCCACCTCCGGCTCCTCCCCCGGGGGGAGGCACAGCGTGGGCACAGCGACAGGCACGGGCCCAGGGGTCGGGCTGGGAGGTGGAGCGGCCACCCCGTCTCGGGGGTCTTTGTGGACATGAGTCTTCTGCTTAGGCGACTGGGGCAGACTGGGGGCAGTGGTTGTCTGCTCAGCAGCACCCCCGCTGGGTGTGGCCCCCTTCACCTTGGCCTGTGCAGGGCCAGTAGTCTGCTGGGGGGAGGGCTTGGTCTTTGTTGGGGTCTGTGGGGGCGTGCATGTGGACCCACCTCCCGATTGGTAAGACTGCCTTGATTTTGATAGCGCTGGTGGCACGTTGCCCCTGCTCTGGCGTGCTGCCCGCGCCTCTTTCCTTGGGGGGGCGCCGCTCCCCTCCTCCGGCTCCCTGCTCTTGGCCGGCCCGCTGTTGGGGGCAGGGCGCGTTCGCGGCTTGGCCTCGGTACTCTGCTGGCGCTCGCCGGTACGGGCCAATGCGGCCTGGAGCTCGCCGCTCAGCTCGCTGTCCTGGAAAGTGCTCAGTTTGGGTGACGTGACAACGACACCGTCGTGGGGGGGACTCTGGATGGACACCACCTCCACGGACTGTGGCCCCTTCCTCTTGCGGCCTTCTGAGGACTTCTGGAACTCAGCCAGCTTCCTCACGGCCAGCATCAACTTCTTCTGGTGGCCTGGAGCAGGGAGACAAACATAAAGAGCTGGCACACAGCTCCGGATCATGGTGAGACAAGCCGCGTACCTTAAGCCAAGGTATGTGGCCTTGCTTGGGGGTCCCTGCCATACCTAGCTTGGTGATACCAATCTCCTGCAGGTCCTCCCAGGTGATGTCGGTGATGAAGTCGATGCTCTCGTAGCCGTTGTTTACCAGGACCTGGTAGTACTGGCCCAAGCCAATCATAGAAAGCCACTCAGCCAGGTCAGCCTGCAGTCCAAACGGACAGAATCGGACCACTGAGACCACTGTTCCTGACCTGTGTAGCGGTGCTGTCTTGGCCTGTCATGACCCTCATATTGATGATTTCAGTATGAATCTCACTCTCTGTGTCATGTGATTCTCTGGCCTGCTGCCCACTCAGGTGACAGATGTGACCTCTGACCTAAAGGCATCTACACACTGAATGCTGGTCTGGTATACCTTTTTACCCTTTTCGCTTTGTGACTCTTTTCTGGTGGTTCTAATTGCTTGGTAAACTGAACTGGAGTCTCTGCAGGCCAAGCTAATTGTGCCCGTGTAGGTGTGCATGTGCCAGTGTAGGTGTGCATGTGCCCGTGAATGTGTGCGTGTGCCCGTGTATGTGTGCGTGTGCCCGTGTAGGTGTGCGTGTGCCTGTGTATGTGTGTGTGTGCCCGTGTATGTGTGCGTGTGCCCGTGTAGGTGTGCGTGTGCCCGTGTAGGTGTGCATGTGCCAATGTAGGTGTGCGTGTGCCCGTGTAGGTGTGCGTGTGCCCGTGTAGGTGTGCGTGTGCCCGTGTAGGTGTGCGTGTGCCCGTGTATGTGTGCGT